AGATGTTATTTGGAGGGTTGTTAGAAGTTTATTGAGGGGGTTGTTGGGGTATTAACTCCAATAACACTGAAATAACCCTCAATAACATCCTCTTTTCACTTCATTAAACCCTCAATAACCTTCACTGAAGTGAAACACTTTAATAATTTTTGTGGTTTCACTTCAATAAACTCTCGATAAACTCCGTGATGTAGCACATATGACGGTAAATGACTGAAGTCCACACACAAAACTGTGTTCCGACCCATATATGTTAAATTTCTTTATGGGAGAAGAGAGTGAGTACATAATTTATGCGGAGAAGAAAATGGAATTTGAACAGGATATGTCGAGTGTTATTTCTGTTGCACTTATAAAAAATTAAAGGTCACATTAAAAATTTGAGTGTGAGATATAAAAATACTCGTATATATAATGCTATTTTTGTAAATAGTCGATTTTTATTTATTTATTTATTTATCTTTTTTATTTCGATCATTGGGGGTTTGGTGCTGATCATCTTATTTCCCGAAAAAACTTCCACTCTGCAAAACCCAGCCTTCAATCATAGCCTGCGTATTCATCCGCCGGTCTGCCGCAGCCAAATGTCCGGCGCCCAAAACCACGACATGCGTCAAGTTCCCCCAGCTCTGCACAGTCCCCGCAACCTCCCCTTCTACTCTCCACTCCTCTCTCGTCGCCTCTAAGAACCTCGGAGTTCCCTCCCACTCCATCTCCCTCACCCAAGCCTCCACTGACAGCACGCCATCCTTCAAATCCAAAGCTCCTTCATAAAGTAGTACCCTCGTCTTCCTCACCACATCCTCCACCATCGTCTTAACACTCTTCATCACATCCTCATGCAGAGCATTTTTCACCAGTTTGTTGCATCTAACCCAAGCCGTCGTCTTTCCGACTCCCAACACTGATTTGACCTCGTCTTTGTTGAGAAATTTCTTAAGCATTGATGTGGCGTACTTGTGCTTCTTCTTGATGTTTAAGAGTGTGGCCAAGCCGGTGTCTTTCTTGAGTCGAGTCAGTACTCTGTTTCTGGCATCCGTGGCAGCGGACCATTTCCCTTCAATCGTCAGCTTTGCTGCCAAATCCTGTAGCAAGACACAAGATTTCATTAGGATCCTTTTTTTTTATTTATTTTTAGGTGCAGTCCCGCAAGAAATAAGATTTAATTTCCTGCATCTTCTCAAGCTTGGCGCGCTGACGTTCATTGATGAGGCCGAAGGAATAGGCCGCAGCGGCATGGACGCGAATTTGGACGACCGGATGAATCATGCCATTGCCGATGGAGATTCCAGCGAGGTTAATCCGAAGGGAGGGGGGGACTATGGGGTTTTGGTTTTGCAGGAGGATGTGGCGAGCAGAGGAGACGACGAACTTGCCGCCGTAGCTTTGGCCGGAGAGGAAGAGGGGGCGGGAGCGGAAGAAAGGGGGTTGGGAGGAGAGGAAGGATTGAAGAGCAGAGTAAAGGTTGGAGGCGATGGAGTTTTGGTCGCGGGGAATAGGAGAGGAAGAGTGGCTGAAACCAGCTGCGATGGGGCTGTCGATGAAGAGGAGGGCGAAGCGGCGGTTCCATGTGAAGGGATTGGGAAGGAGGTGGAGGTGGGAGGAGAGGAGGTAAGGGCCGAATTCAAAGAGATGGCCGATCATGGAGGAGCAACCGGGGCCGCCTTGGAGCCAGAGGATAATGGGGGTGGAGGAGGGGGAGGTGAGGGGTTTTTGGGCTTCGTAGAAGGCGAAGAAGAGGGAGGAGGAGGATGAGTTGGTGGGGAGGTAGCCGGATTTTGTGGGGACGGCTTGTTTAGGGTAGAGAATTTCAGGCGGAGGAATGGAGGAAACGGTTGGAGAGAGGAGGAGGAGGAGGAGGAGGAGGAGGAGGAAGGCAAAGAGGAGAGATGGGAGGGTTAAGAGAGCAGAGGAGGGTGCCATGAGTGCTGGTTGTTCAAGGTTTCGACTGGAGTGGAGCTCAGGGATGCTTAATTTGTGCATTTTATAGTTTTTTCTGAGGGTTGGTAATTGAAGGCTAGGTTTAGGAAAAAAATATATTGTTCAAAGTCCGGATGCAGATATGGGTCCGAGCAACGGACGTGGTACAGCAGGGCGGAGCGAGAGCACTAACATTTGCTGTATCACTTCCGTTGTTCGGACGCAGCTCGCGCCTGAACTCCGGACGTAATATTTTTTCGAGGTTTGGGGTCAACATCCAACCTCATGGAGAGAAAGATTTTATTATGGCACATTTAATAGATTTGATCATTTTGATTAACATATTCATTGAATAAATTTATTTTAGTTTTGAAACCTATAAAATAAAGATAATCATATTATGTTTTGAATTGAACTAAAATTTTGGTGAACCAAAGTATTAATTTGTTATTAAATTAATGATTGAATCAAATTTATCAAATATTATTAATTTAAATTTTCAATTTTAACAAAAAAAGTGAACATTTAATGTTGTAAAAATAAGCATTTTTAAAATTATGCATTCAATGAGGGTTATGTTTTTATAATTTAACTGGACTGAGCAAAAAGAATTACTAATTTGCAAAACTATAACTTTGAATAAAATTCCATTTTGAATGTGGAAAATATTTCCCAATTGTACTTTTCCTTTCGGGGGGACTTGGCGACGGGGGAATAAAGCTATCCAAAACGCAACATGACAAATCAGTACGAAAAAGATGAGGAAGAATAAGCACCACTTAATTTCGAAGTATTTATATATTTAATTAAATTTTAAGACACGCAGACCTTAATTATCTTGTTGTATTATGACTGGCTTAACTTTCAGTAGATAATAATTTATCGGCTGATAAATTAGTTGATTATGAGCCGAAAACTTGTGCAAGAACAAAATTAATAAATTAGTTAATAAATAAGCGTCCTGGCAAAAAAAAAATTACACATTTGCACTAATTAAAAAAAAAACTAACACACATTTCATAAACATATCATAACAACGTAAAAGGCCAAATAGAGGCAACCACATTAATGTAATCATAACAAATATAACAATTAAGCTCAACAAATCATTCATACAATATTGACCGTAGAATAAATGAAGCACTACACACACATAGAAGAAAAAGAAACACTTATCATCCTAGTGGTCCTCCTCCTCAATCAAAGTTCGCTTGCCACAGCGACTTGTTTGGTGTTTCAACGGCACGATAGTTGCCCTGACATCCCTGACTTGTTCCGTTGCCTTCATCACGGACTCCATCTCATAGAGCTCAGCGGCAAAGCAGATCCGTAACTCCTAGCAGAGTGCAGCCACACATTTGGAGACTTCATCATCAATCGATGACAGCTGACATAACCTAAGTATTTCACCTTATAGACAAATCTTTATGTGGCGAGGTCGTAGACCCTCCCCTTATTTCATCCCCCGACAACTTGCCTCCATATCACAAAATCTGGATGATCAAATTGACCACTAGAGCTACAAATTCCTGATGGGCACTGACTCTAAGCATCCTTCAAGCACAAATACTCTTCCTATATAAGATTTTAAAGGGTAATTAACATCAAAATAAGATTTTTAATAAATTTCACTAAAATAACAATGTTATATAAAAAATGGTCTTAATTAATTAGAATTAAATAAAAAAAATTACGGTCAATAGAACGCAATGGAAAAAAGGATTCATGTTGCCAACTCACTTAGTTGGATAAAGGCTTGTTGTTGTTGTTGTTGTATAGTTTTTCATTTATAAAATTGGATGAATTTACATATATATATATATATATACTACCTAAATCCTACCTATTTACATTTCTAACACCTTATTATTCATGCAAATAAAATGGTATTTTTGATGTAATACGAAAGAAATGGGTGGTATGAATGTAAAAAACGTAAAGTTTAGGTGTCATATATGCAAATACCTTGCTAGGAATTGGGTGATATGCATACAAATGCCCCAGACTTTTAACAGTTATTTTCTCATCAATTTCTCTCTTGTTTAGACTGAATACGCTCAATATACTCAAGGTTGAAATAGTGATTTTTCTTATACGCTGTGAAAGCTTTTGGTGGTATAAATGTAAAAAAGAAAAATTAAGGTGCTATATATGTAAATGCCCCCAGAATTTTAATTGATCTTTTCTCATCATAATTCTCTCTTATTTCTGGACTGAACACACCCAAAATACTATTTTTATACAATGTTATTGACTAACAATTAAATTAATTTAAAATATATAAAAATTCCCTTTTTGGCTGCTATGTTGACTGCATTAAACTCATGTGAATCACTTCAACGATCTAAACCTATTTTCACACCCAACTTTTTTGTATTTGCATATATACCATCAAACTTTGAGTTTTACATTTGTGTCATCCCGTTCTTTCATATCAAATCAAAAATAAGAGTACTTTTTATGTGTAGATAAGGTGGCATAATGTGTCATGTTAATAGGGGTGTAAACGAGCCGAACACAAGCAAGCCCAGGCTCATTTAATGTTCGGTTCGTTTATATTTCGAGCTCAAAAAATGTGTTCGTGTTCGGCTCGTTTGCTTAGCGAGCTGAACA